CCTTTTAAGCACTAAGAGATAGCATCCCTCCACCTCCTAAAGCAACTACCGTATAGGTTATTTTTGTTGTTGTTGTTTTTAGGTCATTTCATTGAAAAAATTGGCAATAGCAACAAGTATTAGATGAAGGGCTTTGTGTTTACAGATAAAATCTTTTGTGTTGCAGTATACTGTAGTGTTGGCAAAATTGGAAAAGATTTAATCAAAATACGGTGATACACATGCATCAAAATATTAGTCTTCCTCTTTTTTCAAGCGTCCTCTCTCATTTTACCTCAAGTAAAATGAACAAAAGCTAACATTTATTGAGCAGTTACTATGGACCAGGCACTGAGCCAGATGCCTTCATATATTTTTATTTTATTTTTTTAGATAACAAAGTCTCACTCTGTCACTCAGGCTGGAGTGCAGTGGCATGATCTTAGCTCACTGCAGTCTTGAAACTCCTAGGCTCAAGCAATTCTCCTGCCTCAGCCTCCTGAGTAGCTGGGACTATAGGCACATGTCACCACGCCTCGTTAATTTTTAAGATTTTTCTTTTTTTTTTTAAGAGACAGGGTCTCGCTATGTTGCCCAGGCTAGTCTCAAACCCTAGGGCTCAAAGACCAGAGCCCACTTTGTCCTGCCTTGGCCTCCCTAAATGCTGGGATTACCGTGATAAGCAACTATGCCTGGCCCTAAATGCTTTCATTTAATTGCTATAGGACTATGTGTAGAGCTGTTGTCACTCACATTTGACAGCTGAGAAAGCCGAGGCTTGTCCACAACAAAATAGAAAGGGACAGAGTCAGAAACATGCATCAGCCATCACACTGAGGCCCAAGTGCTTGGCCACTGGGCTATACGCCTTCCAATCAGCTCGGTCACATGCCATACACAAGAAAAAGGGTGTGGGTAGAAGAGGGAATGACTTTTAATCTCCACATTAACTTCATAACCAAATAGGGGGTATTTCTTAGCATAATGGGCTGCTGCCAGTGGTGGAGAAAGAAAGGAAACAAAATAAAATATGGGCCAAATATTTGGCAATATGCATGTTGCCTCTTTGTTCTCATGATACCAATTCATTTCGAATGGGGGATCAGAATAATTGCTTAATTTGGGTGACTAAGGGTGCCAAGTGCTGCTTCTTTTCTTAGCTCTCACTATAATGAAGAACAATCCCACATCTAAGATGCAGTGTTCACAGGCTTCTGTAATTCCCCACCCAGTTTCTACTGTTTTTTTTTTTTTTTTTTTTTAAATGAGACGGAGTCTCGCTCTGTCGCCCAGGCTGGAGTGCAGTGATGCCATCTCAGCTCACTGCAAGCTCCGCCTCCCAGGTTCACGTTATTCTCCTGCCTCAGCCTCCCGAGTAGCTGGGATTACAGGCGTGCGTCACCATGTTGGGCTAATTTTTTGTATCTTTAGTAGAGACAGGGTTTCACTATGTCGGCCAGGCTGGTCTCCAACTCCTGACCTTGTCATCTCCCTGCCTCGGCCTCCCAAAGTGTTGGGATTACAGGCGTCAGCCACCGTGCCCGGCCCAATTTCTACTCTTCATGAATGTCCTCGTGGCTATCTGACATTAATGTGGAATGTATTCACGTGGCTGGGAGGGGAGGATAAGGGAGATACTTTGCTCAGTGTCTCATCAAAGCCTTTTTGTGCACAAGCGTCTCTTGTATTTAGCGAAAGCTCTGCTTTTTAAGCCCCTTTCGGAGTCACTGCCACGTTAATTAGTAAGGGTATCATTTTATAAATTACAGCTTCATATCAGAGGAAAGCAGAGTTTATCTTAATTCAGTCAGCTGTGTGAAACACAGTACCCTAATTTTAGCCCGCCGGTTCTGCAGATCCCTATGGAGTAAGGGAATGGCAGGTCTTCCGGAGAGAAATCCCAGTGGGTCCCCGACAAGTCTCACTTTTGCCTCCAACAGCATCCCTGGTGGGGCTTGCTGAAGGGATCCCAGGACACTGAGTGGCATCTTTTCCACCATTAGCAATTCAGATTCGAATGCGAATCCTCCAAGCAACACATGAAAGCAGCCCTGGTTAGCTCTGTGGCTCCGACGGGGGCACAGGCAAGAGGTTTCTTCACAGAGGAGGCTGACAGGGGCCCAGGCTCTGACAGAGCATAAGTCTTGGAGGATGGTGTTAAAGTTGGCGATAAACACCAGACAATCTCAGTCCAAAAGGGGAAGCCTGACAGTCTTCACTGCACCAGGGCCAAGCAGGTGCGAGGGCAATTCGAGTCTCAACGGCTCCCACTGGGAGCCCTCTAGAGAAATGGCATGGGGCAGAACAGAGACAGATGATGTGAGCGCTGGTTGTGGTGCGGCCCCCACTTAAGACCTGCAGGATCACCACAGTCGAAAGGAAGAACGACTGGGGGTGCGGGGCAGGAGATGCACCATGGATCAGAGGAACACTCCTAATGCCGCTTCCCTTCCTGCCATTGCCATTCTTGGACTCGCCTACAACCAACCACGTATCCGCTTTATTACCCTGAAATCAACTCAAGCTCAGAGTGGTGGGTGGGAGCTACCTTCCCAATACCCATTATTCTGACACTTTGCTTCTTGCACTTAGAAATGGAAACCTAGACAATAACTACTCAGGAATTCAGGTGATGGGAAAGGACCTGGTGGGGTGCTCTCCGTATTGGTCCCCAGATCCCTCTGACAACCAGAGGCAAATTACTTCTAGAAATTACCAGAGTTAGGTGATCATCAAGATCCATGGTTCAAGACAGCTCTAAAGGCTCCGAGGTCATTGACCTGGGATGAGGCCCTGGCACTGGAACTTGTAGTAGCTCCCCAGGTGATCTGGGTGTCAAGGTTGAGACATTTACAAGGAATGGTGAAGACATTAAAAAGGAATACAAACCTGGGCATCCTTACCACCTTCTACCACTGCTGAAGACTGGTGATGGTTTTGGAATTCACATTTCCTTTTTTTTTTTGAGATGAAGTCTCGCTCTGTCACCCAGGCTGGACTGCAGTGGCACGAGTTCTGCTCACTGCAACTTCTGCCTCCCAGATTCAAGCGATTCTCCTGCCTCAGCCTCCCAAGTAGCTGGGACTACAGGTGCCCGCCACCACGCCTGGATAATTTTTTGTATTTTTAGTAGAGACGGGGTTTCACTGTGTTAGCTAGGATGGTCTTGATCTCCTCACCTTGTGATCCACCCGCCTTCGCCTCCCAAAGTGCTGGGATCACAGGCGTGAGCCACCACACCCGGCCCCACATTTCCTTTTAAGGAAAGAATGTCAGCTTGGTGGTACAACCCTGAATAATTTATCCTTTTGGAAAAGTGGCACAGGCTTACAAAGTGAGATCAACCATTGCTGATAGATCTGGAAGGGCCAGAAGGTACCAGTCCCTCCCTGGGTACCAGTGATGCCCACCATGTGGGAATGTGGCCTCAGGGGTTGGGGGGCCAGTGACCATGTCTTGAACACCGAACCATTACTGCTGTGCACATGTCCCTGGCACCCACTACACACTGGCTGCCTGAGACACCAGGGGTGCTACTTCCAAGGAGCTAAGGCTCCTGGGGGCTGGAGGAAGGAAGCTCCTACTTGTCAGTTAAACAAAAGAATAATCCACAGCCCCCTTTCCAGTGTGTACTTTCGCTGTCATCCAACAGCCCATTACCATGTCACAGCATAGCACACCCTTCCATAGGTCACTTTGTTTAAAATGACATGGATAATGCACATGTCAGCAAGCTGACAGTCCTGGCCGTCCTTCAGAGATAAAAACCTCAAGGCGAGAGCCTGTTCTTATCTGGGGGACATGCATTGGTCTACAATCCAAGTCAGGCAGAACATGATTTCTCCAGAGAGCACTTTTTTCATTTCCTGATTTTAAGGAAATCAAATAAGCACCATTTGTCTTCATCTGAATATGCTTGACCTGCTCAAATGATGATGTCTCGCATTTTATAACAGGCTACATATGCTGAATTCAAATTAACGACAGTATAGAACAAGAGCCTTTAGATCTCTCTTGGAGGCTGGCAGCAGAGAAGGAGAGAAAAATTCTGGGTTTGTTGGAAAGATCCCACTAAATACTAACCACAGCATTCTGAATAAAATCCGCAAGCATGTAGGAGGTGAAAGTCAAAGCACAGGGCACAGGACAGATCCAGAAACGGGGGAAGGGAGGCCGAGTCCATCCTTTTGAAGCCAAGCAATACAGAAACCATGATATTCAGGTAACTCTTCTCGAAATAACACAAAGCAGCAGTATAAATGGAAGGAAATTTGGTTGGGGACTGGGACAGCTAGAAGGAAAGACCAAACAGATAAATAATCCCTTTGCTTCAGGCAGCAGAAAGATCACTTTACCAGGTTGTGATCCAATCTTCTGGAACCTCAGAAACTGAGTTCCTTTTCTTGATCCATGTTGATCTGGATACACAGAGGCTGGTGCCCATGAGCCTCGAAACAGAGCATGTACCTGCTGGAAGAACTGTCCTCCTACCTGGCTGTCCGCCCTGATGGGAAGACAGCAGTTCCCATCGGACCTCCCTTGCCCACCCGTACCCCATGATGAGATTCCTAGACACATACCATTAACATTTCTATCAAGAAGGCCAATAGGTACAGAAAAGCATATGGGTCAGTAAAATAAATGCAGAAATGACATTATAAATGCATACTAGCAAGTTTAATGTTCTCATCATGGATTTTAAAAAATCAGACGGTTATTAAAATAAATAATTTTATCTTTTAAAATGTTTTTGGGTCTATGAGTCATCTTCCATAAAGTAAAAACTCAGTGTCACATATATGCAATATTAAAGGTCTTGTTTAAAAAAAAAAGTAGATCTGACAAATTAAACGTGTCATAGCATAGGAAATGTCACCGTGTGAATTATGCCCATCTTTCCTAAAGAGAAAAGGTCCTGTCAACATGAAGCTGGCATCCCACCCTGTAGCTGTGTGTGGGAGGACTCTGGTGTTCACAGTCTGTTATGTGCTGTGCCCACAATGCGGGGGGGAGCATCTTACCTTCTCTTCCTGGTCACTGTCACTGTCACACTGAAAATGAAGACAAGAGAATAAGGGTTAGTGTAAGAACTGAGTATGTTTTTGCTTTTGATGCCTCATCCCCCAACCCTCTTACAAAAAAAGTGCAAGGTAAGTAAAGGAAATAAAAAATGTTGTCTTCTTGGAAAGAAAGAGTTTCTTGAGCTCAAGTGCTAGTAAACAGCATCCGAAACAAAATGCTATCCAGATGCAAAAAAGGTGTTTTGTTCATTTCATCTGATGCCTGTACTCTGTGGCTCTTCCTCAGGTCAGTCCAGCAAGGTGCTCAATCATACAAGTGAGTGCTTCCCTCCCACCACAGCAGGGTAGAGGCGATGCCCCTCTAGGAGTCAGCCACAGGATTAAGGTGAATCAAGATTGTTCAATGAAATTCAGAGCAAAATCAATTTCTTAACGAAGACATTCTATCTTCAGCTAATGTGAACGGCTGTATCTCTCCCGGTGCTTTTCTACAGGAAAAGAGGTAAACCTCTGGGCATCGTAGTCGCTCATTTGAACTTTGAAGGAAACAGAACATAATGGCCAAGGCTCACCACTTATGATGGCTGCCTTTTCCAGTTTAGAGGCCTAGAGAATAGAAGGAACACTCCCTATAAAAAGTATGCCGAAGACAAGAGGTCAGGGTAGTAAATAAAAAATATGGGCAAACAAATATGCTTTAGGGCCATAGACTCAGATCATATCAACAGATCCCAAATTCCAACCATTTAGTTGGTTTGGGATAAGCAGAGTGATAATTAATAATTAACCCCAATCTTTGGGTTCCTCGCGATAAGCAAAGGAAAAAAGAACATAACCTAAAAAAAATGAAGTGTTTTGCTAATTCAATATTCAATGAAAAACTGGGGGATGTGTTTTGTTAGAGTAAAGCTCAGCAGATAAATATATCCATTCATTCACTCAATAGCCCTTGATAAGGAACTGCTAAACCAGACTGAAATTCACCTGAGATACAGGCCTGGCTCTCAAAGAGCCTTCCGTTTAGCAGTAAGACATGAAGCTGGGATACAGACACTAGCAGGGGTGTGGCATGATCAGAGCTGCTTCCATGAGGATGACTTTCTGTGGGACCATGGAGAGAGTGCACAGTGGGGAAAAAACAGGTCACAGGGAGAGCAGTTTGGCAGCCATTCCACTGTCTAACCCAGGGTGGTGCCATGGTTTAGGAAGGGAGAAGCAGATGGCAGAGCAATTCTGAAGGTAGAACCAACAGGATTTGATAACACATGTATATGGGAAGCAAGTAACAGAGATGCATCTAGGATGATGCCAAGGTTTTTTAGTGTGGCCACCTGGACATGTGAGTTGGTACAGCTTTGAACAGAAACAGGAAATAAATTTGCTCGTAGGTGGCCACTGCTGGCTAGATCCCCACAGCCAATCACAACTCCCTTCTCCCTAGTCTGTACCTTCTCCTGACACTCTGAGGTTAAAAATGCCAGGTACTTTCTTTCCCGATTTTTCTTGCAGCTAAAGGTGGGAAAAGAGGTAAACCTCTGGGCATTGTAGTCGCTCACTGAAGACCCATCTTTGGCCAATGAGATTCTGAAATCTGATGAGGGCTCTAGAAACAATTTTGTCTCCCCAGTAAACAAAGAAAAGAAGGAACCACCTGCCTCTGGCCTTTGAACATGAGTGTGTAAGAACATGATGTCTGGATATGTAGCAGCCATCTTGCAAAAATGAGGCAAAGAGACTCAGTACAAAAACAACAGAGTGGGACCAAGGGAAAAAAGCCTGACAGAATTGGACCACTGAATCCATCTCAGAGCAGCCTGCCTCAGGACTTTTATTCAGAAAACACTAAGTTACCTTATTGTTTAAGCTCCTATTAGAGAGCTTTTAATGGGAAGTAACAGAACACCCATCTAAATGGACTTCTTGCTATTATGAGACAACCTGGGGACTACTTATTCTTTTCAGACTAAGCACTCTGTACAAAAAGCATTTAGGAACTTATATCACAATCTTATAGGCTGGAGGATTAGAACATTTTCTACTTCTCCCATTGGCTCCTCAGTGCCACAAGTTAGTCAGATATTCAGTGACAGGGATTTAACCAAGTCCAATGCATCATTTCCAACCCAGCTTCCAACCTCAGACTGTCTACATTTACATTCTTTGACCTGATGAGTAGTTTCTTTATTACAATAAGTCAAATGAGCTGAGAAAGAAATGGGAAGAGATGAAGACTTTGAAGCCCTAGAACCGCAGGTGGATGAGGAACAATAGTGTCCTGATTGTGTGATCTCTCCATTGCCTTTAATTAAGCCCTCTGTGAGGTTCCTAAGACCCGGGCACACTTTCAAGAGTGACAATGCACAATTCAGGAGGGGTGTGGAAGGCAGAAGACTATTTTGCCAGGCAGGCTTATGTTCCCAGATGTTCATAGCGCTCCTTGTGAGGTAATCAATGACAGCTGAAGGCTGTGGCATGGCATTTGCCCACCTCCCCAAGGATCTGGTGTGCAGGGAGGAGGAGGAGTGGGGTAGTTGGGAAAGAACCACCACTGTGCCCCATATCCTAACGGCAGTATGTCCCTGGGAATGGTTATTTCTATCAAAGTGTTAAGCTTCCTGCTTTCCAACAGTCCAGTTCTAATTTCAAGGTCCACTTAATTCTGCATCAAGTAATTACTGATCTACCCAGAAGCACCTTGTCTCCAGAGTTAAGCATATGGTGAAGAACCGAGACCTACTGGTATCCATTATGGAAGCAGCACGGATGCCAAGCCGATTAAAAATGCTCAGGCTCCCCACACAACATGCCGGGTGAGTGACAGCTCCTCGACAAGGCCAGTCGTGGAGTCTGCCAAAACAGTCTCTGCTGCACTGGGGTCCACATGGTGTGCTGAGAAAACAGTTCCATTTCTGGTATTAAATTCCCATACTGACCCGAGGACTTCGCCGTGAGCTCAGCAGGAGCGCACCATCCAATTTACAGCTCCACTCTCTGGAGCCTCGAGTGCCAGCCCCTGGCAGAGACGAATGATGGTCAACCCCTCCAGCTCATAAATTATGCAAAGGCAATAAATGCACTCAGCAAACAGCGCCTAACGTTTGCCTTGCCTGGCTCCTAACACACTCTGTAAAAAGCCAGAAGCTCGACACATACAAGAGGTCTATTCCACTCATAAAGGGGGTTTGTTGACAACCCCAGACGGAAAGCGAGCCACAGTCCTAAGGAGTCTTTCTGCTTCACTGGCAGCGGTTTATGGGCCTGCTTTATGAAAAAGGGAGGCTGTTTTATAGAGTCAGTGTGGGTAGAATTCATGGCCTCAAATTCACATTTAATACACTGTACAGCTTTCACACCCTAAGTTCAACACACTGTGGATTTTTTTGGCCAAATGATTCTTGGTCTTCAAAGGTTAAAAGAAGAAGTGTCTGCTCCTCGATCCCTAGATACCCACTCCAATTTATAAGAGTTCACATTGAGCCACCTCCTGATGCAGGTTTATGTTCTGCATGAGGCTGGGAAATGGAAAAGGCATGTCAGATGCAGAGACGGGGTCCCAGCAGATTTGACCATTTTAAGCATTTTGACATAGGGGTCCTGCTTTGGTTTATTAGCAAACAGGTTGCACACTAACTACCAGCTTGAGGTGATGGAGTACTCTCCATGACAAGATTTCAAAGCCCGCTTGAAAAGCTAAAAATATTTCCTCCATTTTAAAAGCAAGAAATGAAAAGAGACAAAAAGGAACAACCAGGTCTTAGAGCAATGACAGGTAAGAATTCCCGGTCACCCGGCCTTCAGACAAAGACATGACCTGAACCATCACAGACAAAAGGAGAGAAAGAAGAGGTGTGCACGCCAGGCCACAGGCCTCAAATGCACCGTTAGGAAGGGACTAGTTCCTAAACCTGAGTCCCTCCAGCCATCCCAATACTGCAACCGCTCAACTCCATCTTCACCGTCTCCTCCCCTGGTTTCATGAATCAAAAGTGAACTGCTGGAGGCACAGTCTTCCTTTCCCAGACAGGTCTTAACTCTTAAACAACCAACCAACCAACCCACCCAGTCTTTCTCCTTTTGAAAATACAGATTTATGGCTGGGCAATGGGGCTCACGCCTGTAATCCCAGCACTTTGGGAGGCTGAGGTGGGTGGATCATGAGGTCAGGAGTTCGAGACCAGCCTGACCAACACGGTGAAATGCCATCTCTACTAAAAATACAAAAATTAGCCAGGCGTGGTGGCATGCGCCTGTAATCCCAGCTACTCAGGAGGCTGAGTCAGGAGAATCGCTTGAGCCTGAGAGACGGAGGTTGCAGTGAGCCAAGATCGCGCCACTGCATTCCACCCTGGGCAACAGAGCAAGACTCCGTCTCACAAACAAGCAAAGAAACAAAAAATCAAAAAAAAAATATTTACTGGATACATTTTTAAAAAAATTACCCATAAATCTACAATTCTTAGGTAAACACTTAATACATTTGTGTAAGTCTTTCCAGCCTTAAGGATATAATCCCCCTCATCTTTCAAACATACATTTTAAGAAATAAAAATGAATTCCTACCATTTTGGAACCTGCGTTGGTTTTCACATAACACGTCAAATATTTTAGTTTAATCAGTAAAATTTGTCCTGCAACATCACTTTAAAAAATAGTGACACTGCAATCTGCTGTGTGGATTGTAACATAATCTAATAAAAATATTCCCCAGTGCTGGGTATTTAGATTGTTTCAATTGCACATCCTAGAATTTTTCCCTTTGCACCCATTCACCAATATTGCTGTTTGTGACTCTCTTTTCAAGGCCCTTCCTTTTCTGCATATTCTTTAATGTCACTGTCTCCCCAGAGTTGCATCTGGAGTTCTATTGTTTCTATGTGACTTTCAAGGGAGTCCTTAAAGATTCCCTTGGTCCCTTCTACCATGTATATGCTGAAACTCAAAAATCTCTATGCCCACATTTGCCAGATGTGTAACTTTGGAAAAGTTATTTAAACTCTCTGGGCCTTAGTTTACTTGTCTGTAAAATATGG